AGACACTCCACTCAGTGCCCCGCGGCACGGTGGCGGATGATACAGGCGTCCATTAGAGTACGAGTCGGACGACGTTGGTCCTCCATTGAAGCACTGATAGCGAGCATCGGATCAAGGATCGCGCAAGTGTCAAGAAGCGTCCTGGGGGGAGGCCGCGACCAAGATTCCTGAACAGACGGCCACACGAGGTGCTCGTACCTCGGGCGCCCACGCGGGTCAGTGATCCGTGCAGGCGTCCGATGGCGGGGTGATCGGGGACCACCCCACATCGCCTGCACTGGAGCAGCAGCACGCAGCCGTCAGGAGAGGCGCATCGCTCTCACCGCTGCCATCGCCACCGCTTTCTCCGAGCAGGCTCTCCACAGCCGTTCTGGCTGGCGCCCCACGCGCTCACGCCTCAGGCCGTGACGCCCAGATGGCGCCCGCAGCGCTCACGCCCGTAGCGCCCGCCCGAGACATGCCGAGGGATGCAGCGGCCGGCCGCTGCGAAGCGCCAGACCCCGAGCGCTCGCAGTTGCTCGCCCCCGCGGCCTCCCGCGCCCCGGCGGCGGCGTGGAGCGCGTGCGCGCGGCGCGCGCCGACCGTTGCCATGGCCGCGCTGCTGGTTGCCGTTGCCGCTGCGTCCGCGTGCCGCTCGGCCTGGGCGCAGCAGAGGCCGGGCGGCGCCAGAGGGGCGACGGCGGCCCAGGAAGTCACCGGCCTGGCCGAGGAGAGCCAGGAGAGCAAAAGGTAGGCATCGACACGGGTGAACGTGGATTTCCAGGAAGGTATGGGAAGCTGTAGGATTTGCAGGTGAAGACTGACATCCAGAAAGTCTGGAAAATATGGGGGCTCCTTGAATTTGTGCTCATTGATTTGCGTCTCCTTGGGCCCTTGTCAGATCCCCAGCGGAGGTGAAGGTACAGATACCGCTGCTCGTCCTGGGAGTTCGTCGGGATCCTGGTCAGAGCGCACCCCTGGAGAGGTCCGCGGAGTAGCGGCATCGGTACATTTGTCCCCCGAGATCCAGGCCGCCTAGATTTGCCATGAAGCGTGCGGGTCCTGAGGGGAAAAGGGTCCTGAATAGTTTTGCCGTTTTTGGATGTCCTGGGCCCTCTACCACGGGCCGCGGGACTGTCAGAAAACGACGCGGGATGAAGGGCTGGTCTTGGGAAAAGGTGCTGGGGTCCAGGGCCTGTTTCCGTCAGGACCCGCTTGTTTCATGCCAATCAAATCAGTTCGAAGGGTCGGTCGATCGCGTCGCAGCACCGAAGCATCGGCGATGGTGCTCGATGTGGAGCCCGCTTTCCTATGCGCCGACGTTGCCGATGCATCGTCGATGCAGCGCGATTCTCGGATCTCCGACGCCATCTACTCTGACCCATGTGGGTGGCCTTCAGGAGAGACACGGCCTACAGGCCCCTGGGCCGCTGAGTCGGGAGCGGTTGGAGAAGATGTCGACGAAAGAGCTGTTCGAGCTCGCGAAGAAGCTCCAGGAGGAGGTGTCAGAGTTCGACGACGGCATGGGACCCCCCTTGGAAGAGGACCCTTGTAAAACCCGCAAAGAAATTGCACGCCGGCTGAAGGCCGCGAGACTCCGTGAGCTACAGGCCGAGATGGAGAGTGAAGAAGAGAAGCAAGAGGTCGAGGGGCTTCTTGAGAACGGGGCAGTTCTGGAAGAGGAAGAGGAAGACCCGTGCTCAATGCACGAGGATGACTTGGTGCAGGTAGACGAGGCCTTCGACAATCACGTTGAAACCACCGAGTCGGATGGCCAGGGAGACCTGGATGATGATGATGATGAGGAGGAGGAGGAGGAGGAGGAGGAGGAGGTCCAGACTGGGCATTCTGCCGCCCGTGGTCGCACCTTCACGGAAACCAGCACCAAGGACCCCAATTCGACGCACCAGCACACGCAACTGTCGGCCAGCGCCAGGTGCTCTGCCAGCCACGAGGACTGCAGGTCCACGAAGTGCTGCTCCGATGCTGGGCTGCAGTGCTACGAGAAGAGCGAGTGGTGGGCAATGTGCCGGGCCCGCTGCATCCCTGGCGTGGCCGACCCTGCCGACGTCGACCCCGAGCACTGGAGCTGCAGGAAGTTCGGCGAGCGCTCCAAGGGCAGGCCCGTGGAGCCGGGGGAGTGCCACGGCGTCCACGACAACTGCATGGGCTCGAAGTGCTGCAAGGACCCTGGCTTCGCCTGCTTCGCCAAGAACGGCACGTTCGGGAGGTGCATGCCGGAGTGCGCCCCCGGGCCCCAGTACTTCGACCTGGACGACGGCGACCCGTGGAGCTGCCGCCAGGTCGGGGCCGCGGCGCTTTCCACCGTCGGCAAGTGGACGGAGGCGAACTGCACCGGGGACGCGGACGACTGCCGCGAGAGCAAGTGCTGCGCCACCAGCGGCCTCCAGTGCTACGAGGTTCGGGAAGGTAAATTCAGCATCTGGCATATCCGTGGAAGCCCGGCTTAGTCCGGCATATTCCCGCTTGGTCCCGCTCAGTTCCGCTCAATCTTGTGGGTTGAATCCAGCCTCATCCGCGCAGTGTTTGACCCTTATCGTGCTCGATGGCCCCCTTACAGGACTGGACCAGGACGAGGGTGCATCCGTTCTAGAGCGTTCTGGAACGCTCTCAGAGCGAAGGCCGCGGCGCCCGAGACATGTTCAAGAGCCGCCGGATCTCAGAGATTCCCGATGTATCCTCACTCGATTTTATCCTCGTCCTGGCTTCGACTTACAGTGGCACCCTTTCGGATGCAACTCCTGGGAGGTCAAATTCTGACTTCGCCCTGGTCCGAAGTCCGGCTTAATCCAGGTTAATCCGCCCTAATCCCGCTCAAGCCGGCTTAATCCCGCTGAATCCGGGTCAATCCCGCTTAATCCGCGGCCGCATCCGGCGCAACAGCTCCCCACTGGGGCTCAATCCTGCCTAATCCTGCCGACGAAGACCTCCCAGTAGTTACCTCCTAGCACCCTCATCGGGCTCGATGGCCCACTACCGTTCCTACGAAGACCTCCCAGGAGTCGACTCCCCAAAATCAAGAGCTGACCACTCACACTCATACCTATATGTCCCTTCGAATTCCTGGGGTGTAATTCTAGGGGGGGGGCTATGCGTGCGTGTTGCCGGACGGGGGTCTCCGCTCGAGCGGGAGGGAGCACCCCTCGGGGTCCGACAATTCGCAGCCACATCTACAGCGCGTTCCTCTCCTTGCCCTTCCTCATTCCTCCTCCCTATAGGTCTGAGTGTGAATGTGTGTGTGTGTGTGTGTGTGTGAGCGTGTGTGCTGCTTGTTGACCACAGAAAAGCAAGGTGGACGGCGAGGCGGCCCAGTGCAGGCCGAGCTGCTTGCGGGAGGACGGCAGCCCGTGCACGGAGCTGGGCTACCGCACCCCGCCGCCCCCCGCCGAGCTGCCAGACGGGCCCCTCGGTGGGAAGGTCGGCTGGTGGGTCGAGGGCTCGTGCTCCAAGGACTCGGAGGGGAGACATCGAACTAGAAGAAGGAGCGGCACACACATAAACTTTTGGTGCTCCGCGCGGGTCTCTCGGATCCGCGCTGGGCCCCCTCGGCGGCGTCTTCGGCGCCGCCCCTGGTGCGCTGCGCGCGTCAGGAAGTGGGGTCCTGCGCAGATCCAAGAAAGCGCGGAGCGCCAAAAGTTTATGTTCATTGCGTTATTAGTATTATTATCATCATTATTATTATTATTATTATTATTTCTTATTGTTTTCATTATTATGAAAGTACGATTAGTATTACTAATTTTATTACTAGTATTATTAGTATTCGTATTATTATTATTATTATCATCATTATTATTATTATTAGTATTATTATTATTAATATTATATTCTTCTTCTGATTCTTCTTCTTCTTCTTATTATTATTATTATTCTAAAGAAGGCTCGGATGGGGCCAGGACGAGGACAAATCCATTCCAGAACGCTCTCAGAGCGTTCCCGAGCGCTCTGAGAAGTCCACGGCGCCCGAGACATGCTCCAGAGCCGCCTGATCTCAGAGATGTCCGATGTATCCTCACCCGATGCTATCCTTGTCCTGGCTTCTCTCCCCTTGGGAGCCAGCTGAGGGGCCGAGGTGGCCCAGCAACGGCGGCCATCGGAGAGGGGGGACCGAGACGCCCCTCGTCGCCGTGGCTGCACGCGGCTCGGAAGACTAGTCGGTCTCGACCCTGGGAGTGGTCTGGAGACACATTAGGAGGAGGAGGAGGAGGAGGAGGAGGAGGAGGAGGAGTAGGAGGAGGAGGAGGAGGAGGAGAAGGAGGAGGAGGAGGAGGTATTTTGAGCGGATTTTTCCCTCGTCCCCCCCTTTTGATCGAGTTTCTCAGGGCGCATGCAGCGCAGACCCCCTGGCCGCCTCCAGTCGATGCCGCTGCCCCTGCCTCGTTTTCGACCTGGGCCTCGTGGGAGGCCCTCGTCGCCACGTCTGGACTCGCCTCGAAATATTCTTCAGGACGCATCCCGGGAGATGACCGCGGAGCAGCGGTGTCGGCATCTTATGGTCTCCCCGAGGACGGCGAGGACTGCAGCGGCACTCTGTGCTGTGTTGGCGCGGGGATGCAGTGCTACCAGAAGGACAGCAAGCACGCAGCGTGTGCAGGAGAGTGCCAGGCGAACAGCACCTGGACGTGCAAGGAGCTTGGCACCCGAAGCTGGGGTCCGGCGTGAATCCCGGGGCCAGCATGGACTCGTACCATCCGCGGGGTGGTGGCGTAAGAGACCCTTGCGTATTGAAGAATTCGTGCCATTGACCTGGCGCTCGCGTAACGGGCCGAAGAGCAGGCCTTAGAGAAGAGTAACGTTTTAGATGCCCATTAGCACTTGCCACTCTTCCTGGGACGTGCGGCAAGCACGCAGACGCACTTTGTGAAAATGCGGCGACACCGCGTGCGCAAATAGGATCGCATTAGGCGTTTCGCGGATAGGGGCCGCCATACCTTGCGTGTTCTCCTCTGCAAGCTGTTGTTTCGCAATTATTGACGCTTCGCGTATCTCCACCAGCCAACGTCAAAACGGCTCCCGCCTTCCGCCCGCCGCCACCCCCAGGCACGACAGTGTTGTACACACAGAAGACGGGCCTTCAGCCCGGGGAGCGCAGTGCGAGACAGCAGGAGTGGACGAGCCTGTAGCTCGGGATGCTTTAAATGGACAGATGGACGTTGACGGTGGCACGGCTGCCAATCAGCTCCCTGGTCATCCCTGTAATCCCGACGACTCCCGTCCTTCATCCGCCCCCCAAGCTGACAGTCACAGACGGGACGAGCCTTCAGCTCGGGAGTCACAGGCGGGACGAACCTGCAGCTCGAGTCTCCAAGGCGTATCTGACAGTTACAGAAGGGACGAGCCTTCAGCTCGAGAGCCAGAGACGATGCCCATGGATGCCGAGAGCGCCGCAGAGACTGTGGCCATGAGTGGCGGCTGCATTAAGCCCCCAGCCATCCCTGGTGAAGCAACTCAGGGCCTCCCTCAGCAGGCGGACTCCCAGGCCTGCGGCGGGCCTACGGCCGATACCGCCGACGTAGTCATGGAAGCGCCACGCTCCCCAACGGGGCCGAACCAGAGAGGACGCGTCGATGATGGTGCGGCTGGCACAGTCGGCGCTACAGGCGATCTAGGTGGCTGCCGCCATGACACCTCCGCTCCCCTCCCTGGAGACATAGGCGTCACTACGACAGTAGCTCCCAGCCCCCACGTCGTTGACCTCACCGATGGGACTGGCCTTCAGCCAGGAAGAGATGAACAGGAAACGGCTGGGGTGGACGCGACGAGCACACTGAACGCTGCGCTCGACAGGGGCTACAGAGTGGCGCGTTTCGCTACAGGCAGCGACGAAACGAACGGCCGCGGCCAATCCTCCCTGGTAGCGACGACGGCCGTATCCACGGGTCGACCCCACACGTCCGACGCCAGCAGGGTCCCATCTGACCCTGCACACGAAGTGGGCTCCCTGGTCGATCTGATCGATCGCATCGGACCCCCGATCGTCGCCGCTGGACCACCCTGCGTCTCCCTCTCCTCGCCTACCCGTTCCCCTCCCATCCACTCCTCTCCTGGCCCTCCCCCTGGGTTGGAACATCCAGACGCCATTCCGGGCGGCAGTGGCCATGGCCGCGAAGACCCGTCCCAAGGGGTGGGCCGCGGGCCCCTCATCAGGACTGCCAGCGGTTCTCCGTTCGTGTTGAGGCGTGCGGCTCCCAGAACGCCCAGTACGCCCATCCCATTCCCCTTCCCTTCTCCAGACCCAGCCCTGGAGGAGGAACTTCGGATGGCGAGCCAGGGTGCCCCCCGCTGACGCGGAGGATGGCACCAGCCAGGCCCATAGAGAGAGGGTGCAGTATGCAACCGACCTGCATGCTCGATGCATGGACGCCACCGGACACACGAACGCAGACTGGGCAGTCAGTCGAGAGACTAATGGGCCCATGCGTGGAAGCGGGAGCGAGAGCACGAGCGGAGCAGGCCAGGGCCGAACAGAGAACGAATCTGAGGAACCAAGGACCGATGCACGTAGGAAGGGCGCAGCGTGGAGCAAAGGCCGCTGCGGCGGAAGCTGCGAGCACGACCACTCCCTGGCACGCAGACATACGACAACTGCTCAATCGGGCACAAGGTGCTCTCCCCCAGGGTAGACTACCACCAGGCAGCACGAGAGGGGGGCACCTGGACAGGCTCATCCGCACGCTAGACGCCAGGCAGCGAGATGAGGAAGGCGCAGGCAGGGGCACCATGCCCGCCCCCGAAGGAAGGACCTCCGTCAACGGCGATCAGGCGCAGTGCCTCGCGCAGAGCATGCTGCTAGACCACAGAGCCAATGGTCAACCAGGCTCCTGGATCTCTAAAGCCCTGTGGCTCTGCCTGGCCCCGCATTACTTCCCCCTCCTGAGGCCAGTGCTGACGGCGCGAGTGCTGGACTCCCGGCCCTGCGACGTACTCTATCGGTGGATGACGGGAGCTGAAATGCACACGCCGGAAGACTTGGTCACCTGCCTCAGCAGAGAGGTGCCAGGGGCCAATCTGACGCCATACTCCGACCTCAGTAACGTGCAAATCCAGGCCCGCATCAGTCACCTAGGCGAGGAGGCCTGTCTGACGCATCTTGAGGCGAGCGTCTCCGCCAGAGCCCTCATCGAGAGCCTGGGAGACGGCCTTGCCCGGATCGGCCAGCCCCCTGGAGACAACGCCAGACTCCCCCCAGAGAACATGGATGCCGTAGAGGTCCCCTCCTGGGATCTCGACGAAGGTACTCCCTTATGCATGATCTGCAGCGAGGGCATTCTGGGCACCGCGGAAGTCCTTATGCCATGCGGCCATTTGTTCCATGGTGAGTGTCTGAGTCAGTGGAGAGTGAGCCAGCCGACCCAGGCCCATACCAATGGAAGATGCTTCCCAGTAAACTGCCCCAACTGCCGTTCGAACGACAGGGGTAGTATCATCGTAAGACTGCCCGGGCGAGTCTGTGACGCCGACGCCGCTGCTGTTGCGGTGCCACCAGACCTGCTGCAACTACGGGATGGCGCCCTAGCCCCGCTACAGCCGTTCCTGGGCCTACACGAGCTAGCCGAAGCTGTCGGGCATGTGGCCCCAGATCTTGACTGCCTTAGAGCACAGACGCTGGCAATTCGGCGGCCCCACACGTACGTCACGCTTGCCGACATGCGCAGGATTCACGAGCATGCGAGCGAATGGAGGACCGCACAGGAGATGGAGCAAGCCCCAATGGATGTGGATGGAACACCGACCGAGGGCGGAGCAGGCCTGGACCATGACGATACGCAGGACAGCTCACAAAGCCCTGGATCCTTACCACCAGCAGGACCTCCCAGTCCCACCAGCAGGGCTTACAGGATACGACAATCTCCGCGGATCACATTTGGGAGATGGGCCCTGCTTCTCGGACGAAATCCTCCTGAGGACGAGATCAGGAAGAGAGGGCCGCTGCGATTCCCCGTGAGCCTATTGACCACGGCAGTGCGAGACATTGGAGCCGATCTGGTGGTCCCCAGAACGGCGTACGTTGGTGATCGAGTCGCCGATGAAACTGGGGTCACCTTTGCCCTCGCCGGCCCTGATGCGTGGGAGCAGATCAAAGCCCTGGCCACGGAGCGCAGAAATCAGGCCCCTGGAAGCTCCGTCCCAACGATCTTCATGGTAGATGCACAAGCCTCACAGATGGACTCCGCATTGGCGGCAGCCTCTTCCGCGGGAGGTCCATGCTGTGTCCTTTCCCTGGCAACCGAGGGAGTGCCATCCCCTGGGCGGCCGGGCCCTATCGAGCTTGCGACCCTGGCGAACGCACAGTGGGGGTTCAGAGCGACCAGCAAGATCAGACACCTTGTCCCGATCGGCTACCCCTATCGAACCGGCAAGCCCAGCCCGCCGATGCAGCAACTGTTCGCGGCGCAGCTCGACATAGCAGGCAGGGCACTTCGCGCGATTCCCCCCCCGTCTATAGTTGTACACTGGGGAGGGAGATCTGGAAACACCTCCGACGCTCTCCATGTTCCAACCCCTGAAAGCGGCAGCGACAGCGTCGCCGCGCAGATCATCAGGTGGAAGGAGGAGCTGAGACAATCCAGCAACGGTCGAATTACAGCCGAATGGGTCACCACGAGAGTGCAGCTCCCTCGGGGCGAGCTCCTAAGGTACCAAGGGCTCGAGATGCTCTTCCATCATGTACTTCGCCGTCGGACAGCGAGACCCATGACCAGAAGCGACGGCCTCCGTGCCCCCCTGGACAACCTGCAGGCGGCAGCGCAAATCACCACGCTGGCCCACTCCACCGCGTGCATTTGGAGAGCCCACGAGACGAGCGACTCAGTGCACATTCCAGTCCCCCCTAGAGCAGCGTGCCTGGCGCGCGCCGTAGCTTCTGCGACAGCTGGGGCCATGGGGCACAGAGTAGGTATCTGTGGAACGGGGTCGCTTCTCCTTGCTACTCCTGAGAGGATCGCTGCCCCTGTCCCGCGGCACCTTCGCGACGAGCCCCCGCGTATATTAGGAGAAGAGTCCTCCACGCCAGCCCTGGGACCGCGCCGAATCCTCTTGAAAAGGACCCTGGGACGGGGGGCCCTTCCTTGTACGCCTCTCCGACCCCGAGGACGGCTTCCACCTGCGATGGAACCTGGCTGACATGGGACAAACACGGCCTGCTGACGTCATGCAAGCCGTAGAGACCACCACCGGGCCCGACACTGTCGAGCAAGTTTCCACCGTGTACGCCTGGTTCCCCGACGTCTCGGACTATAGGTGCATGGCGCAAGTCCGCATACGCCTGGCGGCCGCGGACGCCATGGCGGCGGCCTTTGTCGGCACCAGCTGTATCGTGGTTGGCGCCCAAACGATCAGGATCTTCCCCGCGACACCGAGCAGGGATCCCATGCACAGAGCTGCCGCCGTCTCCAGAGAGCAGCAGGAGCACGTGGACGCGCTGGCCAGATCCTCCGTCCGACAGGCTCCCAGGCGTGCCATACAGCCCCAAATCCTCGAAATCACCACTATGGATAGGCACGGCGCCCAACTGGCAGGAGTGCACCTGCGCAGTATGCGCCCGAATGCTTGGCTCCCTGGACACAGTACTCTTCGACTCTACTCGGCAGCAGTGGGCTCAGCGAACGCTCAGATACTAACTCGGCTCTGGCCGCTACCTGCCAGCCCGAACGGAGCGTCGCACCCAGCCAACACCAGGGCCGCCCCACCTGCCCTCACAGGCGACTGGCTCCGAGACAATGCCAGGCCCATGACCCTGAATGCTCCTAACACGCTACCAAGCGAGTACTTCGGAGAAGGCATACGGGACTATGAGACTGTTCTCCAGCCAGGGGAGTACCTCCCTGCGGCAGTGGCTGCTGGGGGAGCAGTGGAGCTTACCGCTAGCGGCGAGGCAGGATTCCTCTTCACCACGGTTCCCACCTGGGTGACGATACTCCTTCCCGCCGACGCAGACATCAGAGCGGCCACAAGAGGCGCATACATACCACAAGCCAGGTTGAAGCTCCAGCTGGCCGCT